TCTCTCTCTCTCTCCCTCTCTCTCTCTCTCTCTCTCTCTCTCTCTCTCTCTCTCTCTCTCTCTGTCTGTCTGTCTGATCAGAACTGCACAACACTGTATGTCGAGGGCAATGCAACCCCGATGCATTCCAACAAATCCAAGTACCGCTGGCGACCTTCGTACTTGTATTCCAAAATCGCTGAAGTGCTGAAGTTTTTGGTCCCCATCTCAGCATCTTCTCCTCCATGTCTCTCTCTCTCTCTTCACTTGTATCCCCTGCTATAAGAGGCTATGGCAGAAGAATTGAGTGGGCTGCCTCTTCCATCCGTCCGATGCAATCAGACAGACATATTCATGAGCCGACCCGCCTCCCAGGGCCAGGAGAACGGTCGCGGCTGCCAGCAACGGCCACAAGGGCATACTGAGAAGATGCACGGTATCTGTAGGGGCGTATGGAAAATTCTTGTGCTGGCACTCAACGGCTATCCGGTAGGGGCATACTGAAAATTTGACACGGGTAATGGTAGGGGCATATATATTGAACATAGTTCAGGCCCAAATGACGCCAGGGTTTTTTTGGAAACTGGAATCGCTGTCAGAGGGGCAAATCAGGGTAAGTCGCCTATCAGAGGGGCAAACCACAAATAAACGGAAATTTCAGGGGCATTTTGGAAATTTTCCCTAATCATAATTATTATTATTTAGGAAGTGTGTTATAATTGTAATAATGCCTCCTTCTTCATGGTATATTAGATATACTGTATTTCTAATTACTAATTATTATTAATTAATTAGTAAATACGTTTTAAACTTCTTCTTCTTCTTCTTCTTCTTCTTCTTTATTTTTTTTTTTTGGGAAGAAGGGTGGGGAGGTAAGGGGGGGGGCGCACGTCAGAAAAGATCTGAGCTTGGAAAAGTTAGAAAATCATATCCAAAAGCTTAAATATTGTTTGTTGTCCTTCTGAAGCTTATCATTGATTGGGATGATATACTCGTGGGCGGCCTGGAAAAGAAAGACCTTGAGCCTCGCTCCACTACTAACCACACGCACACAAGACAAAAAAGAAATGGCGGTGTATCTTTCCATGTTGTAGCAGAAGATTCATTCTCAGTTTGCACATTTGGTGAGTAGCGGAGCGAGGGCCCTTATTTCGAGACTCGGAACTTTCGTAGTGTAGTGTACTCGTTGGTGGCCCTCACTCCGCTACTCTCCAAATGTACAAAATGGGAATGAATCTACCGCTAAAACATGGGAAGATACACTGCCATCTTGTTTGTCTTCTGTACATTTGGAGAGTAGTGGAGCGAGGCCGATTGATGGCAAAATTCAATGTACTGTGTCCAAAAGTACATTGACAAAAGGAAAGAAAAGTGTTGTGTGACTTGTGTCCTTTCGGGTGTGTCCTCTTTCCTCTGTGGTCATTAATTGCATATGCCATATTGATTACTTATCCGTATAAGTATATACGACGTAAACCTAGGCTACCAGAGTGGCCCGGGGTCACTTGCCAGGCCGGGCCAGGTATTTCGTTTTGCGGACCTACTGTATGGCTCCGTTTTTTTACTATGTATATGGCAGATTTTGTTCTGGTTATCGTTTTGGTATCCCGGATGGTTTTATCCTGTTGTTCGGTCTATTGGCGTGGCAGCGTAGCGGTGCGGTGCTTTCATGTGGGACTAATCATCCGGGTTCTGGTTTGTTATGGATATGGTAGATTCTTTTGGTTGCCACACTGTGGATCGGAGTTTTTTTTTTTTTGGTAACCCTTGTCTGCATCCCGGTTGGCTCTGTCCCGTTGTTCGGTCTATTTTCGGAGAATGGTAGCGGTGCTTCATGTGGGATCGGTCATCCGGGTTCTTCTTTTTTTATTGTCTTGGGGCATCCTGGTTGGCTGTTAACCGTTGTTCGGCCTACTCGGGGGGCGGTGCTTTTACGAGGGAATCGTCGTCTGGGATTGCCTTTCTTTTTTTTGCAGATAAGGTGTTCTTTGCTTCAGATTCTTTGCTTCAGATTCTTTGCTATGGATATGGTAGAATTCGCTCTCTGGTATTCA